TATATTATATATTCACTTGGTTATTAATGATATGCTCATGGTTTTTTTTTCAGTGTAACTCTTTCTCCGCCGCTTGCAGCGGTGAAGAAGGTCACTTCTTCACATCACCTCCCCCCTCTTCAAGCCGCGTACTGTCTGGGAACCTGGACAGATAGTCGGCCACAAGGTTCTTCCTCCCGGGGCAATGACGGATTTGGAACCTGTAGGGCTGGAGAGCCAAGTACCACTGAGTCACTCGAGCGTTGTGGTCTTTAATGGAGTGTATCCAGGTTAGTGCCCAATGGTCTGTCTCCAGGTCAAACTCCCGCCCCAGGAGGTAATATCGTAGAGCTTCTAGGGCCTTTAGTCCCTTGGGCCAGTACTGCTCCAATCCCCTTGTCAGAGGCATCCACCTGTACCAGGAACCGCTGGTTGAAGTCAGGGCTCTGCAGCACTGGTGCTGAACACATTTTCCCTCTCAGGGAGTTGAATGCATTTTCACAGGTCTTGGTCCATTTCACCGGGTTCTTTCCTGCTTTCTGTAGTAAGTCCGTCAGTGGTGCTGCGATTGAGGCAAAGTCAGGGATGAACCGGCGGTACCAGCCCACAAGACCCAGGAAGGAACGAACTTCCTTCTTCGTTCTAGGTCTCTGACTGTCCCGGATTGCTTGTACCTTACATGCCTGTGGCCGTAGTTCACCATTGCCCAATTGGTACCCCTGGTAGTTTGTTTCTCGCTTTGCCCACTCGCACTTAGCTACGTTCAAGGACAGGCCCGCAGCATGGATTCTCTCTAGGGTCTGTCGTAGATGGCTTAGGTGCTCCTCCCAGTTATGGCTGTAGATGACTACGTCATCCAGGTAGGCTGCCGCCCATTCTTCACAGCCCCGGAGTACCTGGTCCATCAGCCGTTGGAAGGTGGCAGGTGCCCCGTGCAGACCAAAGGGTAGAACGGTGAATTGGTATAGTCCAACTGGTGTTCTGAAGGCAGTGAGAGGCTTGGAGTTTGGGTCTAGGGACACCTGCCAGTACCCCTTGCACAGGTCCAGTGTCGTGATGTACCGGACCTGCCCTATCCGCTCCAACAGGTTATCAATCCTTGGCATAGGGTAGGCATCGAACTTCGACTGGGCATTCAGCTTGCGGAAGTCAACACAGACACACAGTGATCCATCTTTTTTTGGTACAATGACCAATGGGCTGCTCCACTCACTAGTGGAAGGTTCAATGACACCCAACTCCTTCATTGTCTCAATTTCTGCCTTTAGGGGAGCTAGTAGTCGTTCGGGGATTCTGTATGGTTGCTGTCTTGAGGGAGTCGGATTAGTGAGGTGTATGGTGTGTTGGATGAGCTTGGTCCGTCCAGGCCTCGGCAGGAACAGTGACGGGAACTGATGGAGGAGATCTTGCAGTTCTGTCCGCTGTGGCTCGTCCTGGTGATCCAGCTTTACCATTGCAGCATCTCTCTGCGGTTGCATATCTGGGACAGGCACGTCCTCCTCTTCCTCTACTGTTCTCACCATCAACGCCGTGTCTTTGGGGACCCACTGTTCCCTCCTCATACGTCATACGGAGCTCATACGTCACCGGACCCATCTTCCTCACAACAGTATACGGCCCCTGCCACTTGGCAAGCAACTTATTGATTGAAGTTGGTAACAGTAACAGTACCCTCTGTCCTGGCTGGAACTGGCGCAGTCTGGCTTGCTGGTCGTACTGCCTCTTCTGCACCGCTTGTGCTTCTTGGAGGTTTTCTTTGGCTTGTTCCCTATAGGTCTCTAACCGGTCTCTCATCTCCAGGATGAACTTTACGATGCCCTTCTCCTCTGTTTTGGCCTTCGGTTTAGTCCAGGTTTTTTTAAGATGTCCAGGGGTCCTTGGACTTGCCAACCGTAGAGGAGTTCAAAGTGTGAGAATCCTGTTGACGCTTGCAGTACCTCTCGGTAGGCAAACAGGAGAAATGGCAGCCACTTATCCCAATCGCGTCCAGTGTCTGCGACGAACTTCCGCAGCATACCCTTCAGAGTCTGACTGAACCTCTCCACGAGTCCATCCATCTGAGGATGGTATGGGGTAGTTCGAATGGCTGTGCTGCCCAGTTGCTGGTGAAGCTGCTACATCAGTTGAGAGGTAAAGTTCGTTCCCTGGTCCGTGAGGATCTCATCTGGGATGCCTACCCTAGAAAACAGCTGTATGAGAGCGTGAATGACCTTTGGTGTAGTGATGGTGCGAAGTGGGAAAGCTTCTGGATATCGTGTGCCATAGTCACAAATGACAAGGATGTATCGGTGCCCTGCACTGCTCTTTTCCAGTGGGCCCACAATGTCCATGGCGATGTGACGGAAAGGGGTGGAGATGACGGGTAATGGTTGCAATGGCGCTCTACCCCGCTGACGTACAGATTCATCACATTGCATGATTTAATTAGAGAGAGTGCACTACCAGTGTCCAGCATTGCCTTTAACGAATGTCCATTCACCGTAATGTCCAACAGCATGTTATTACATTGCCCCACCCCAACAGAGTCTACTTCCCCATCTTTTTCTCTGGGCACATAGCAAAAGCCAGTCAGTTTGGCTTTACGCGCCGGACATACAGAAGCTTTGTGTCCCAGCTGTTGACATGCAAAGCAGATCAGTTTCTGTGTAGTGGCAATCTTAAGTTCATGGGTAGCCTCTTGTGAACTGTCTGTGTGTGCAAACCATGCTTTACTTTTGACAGGTTGAGTGCGCGGGCCAGATCAATGGCCATTCAGGTACTGCTGTGCTAGCTTTGCAGCTGCTAATCCTGATTCTGGTTCATGCTCCTTTACCCAAGTACGGCAGTACACGAAGTAGCTGTTCCAGGATGATCAGCTCTCCGATCTCCTCTTTAGAATGCAGATCAGGACGCACCCATCTCTGGAAGAGATTCCGTAGACAATGGTACGTTTCGGTTGGTGACTCACCCTCTGGAATGTTCGCCGCCCGAAACCGCTGACGATACGTCTTGGCTGAGATGTTGAACTTTTGCAGTAGGGCGTCCTTCAGGTGGTAGTAGTCGTCTGCGAGATTCTCATCCATGGCAAGGTATGCCTCAAGTGCTTGACCAGTCAGTAAAGGCACGAGTCGACAGTTCCACTCTTCCCTTGGCCACTGCCATGTTCGGGCCAATCGCTCAAACCTCCTCAGATAGCTCTCGATGTCGTCCCATGGCTGCAAGACAGGCACCGGCGTCTCTGATCGAAGTATGGGCACTCTAGGCTGTGTTAGTCCCTCACTTGCTGCGCCTCGAGGAAGTCTCATCAGGCTCACCAGGCCCCTGATGGGTAATGTGGAAGGGCCACTGGTCTGTGCTAAGCCGTGTTTGCTCGACGCTCCAGGATGATCTACTGATGACGCCTCCTTGTCTTCCGATGTCAAGCTGTCCCAGGTCTCGTCCCCTTTAGCCTCCAACTTTGCTTGTGAGCGCAGACCAGGCCTCTTGCCTTTAATAAGCCCAGAATGGGTCTTCTCAGTCTACTGTGGGACGTGTTAATGTCCCCAAAAAAAAAAGGATGGCTTAACCCGCAGATTTTCTTCAGTGTAAACTGGTGTTATATTTACACATGCACCGATAATCCAACAGTCCAGCAGTGTAGATATTTACAAATGCTCAGTCCAAACTAATATATATACAAATATAAATACCAAAGGGGAAAAAAACAAAGTACCAAAATAACCCAAACAACCATATAATATATACAGACTTTTCTCTTGTCTCTACTAATTTACAAAGGAGTTTTAGCTCAGGCACCGCAGCAGCACGTTTGCTCGACTTGGTTAACAAGCACCGTTGGAAGTCTGGCGCCAGGTTTTAAAGACCAGACTCCGCCCCTTTTCCGGGCACGACCATTAAAAGGTAAGTTACACCATTTATTATTTAATCATCCACTTTAAGATTTATACAATAACTTCACTTGGTAATATTAAAACAGATCACCATTGCATTTTCAACCGTAATATAAAATATATATTAGTTGTCACCAATCTGTTTCTCTTTACAGATCGACACATTCGGGTACCCCGCAAAATAAACAAACATGGGTTCACCGGGTCCTTCGACTGCTGCGCTGGCGCGACGCTAGCCGATGACATCAAAAGCGATTGCCCTCCGCAACCTCCGTTTTTTTTTTTTATTATGCTTCCATTTACAACTAACAAACAAGGTACATAAACACATCACATAATCTAACAACACGTGAACAGCCTTAGGTTGAGCATAACCAGTGACAAACAAGATCCCAATAAACCAATAATAAAGAAGAAATAAATAGAACAAATAAAACAAACCAAAAGGGGCTTTTTACATTAGTTTATACATGCCCCAAAAACGAAATCAATTTGAGAGCTTTCTTGTTTTTAACCAATTCTAAAGATTTGCACAAAATTTTAACCTGAATTTATTGGTAGGATAAATCTCATTTAAAATTTTGAAGTTCACCTCCTTAACTTTAGGAGGAAGAGGAAAAGATATATAGCTTTTCCTAATTTTTTAAATTTCCATAATATCAAAATCTTTGAGCATGTATTCCCTTCTAATAGGCTTAGGATAATAAGCCTGTAAAATTAAATCTCTAATGACCCTATTTGTAAATTTTTTATCACAAAAATCATAACCTTCTAAGGAGAGCTGTCTCAGTTCTGGGGAGACTTTGGAGTACAAAATGTCTTCTTTAACTATTAATCTTACAGCAATTGGAATGGCTCTAATTATTCTATTATAAGTATTAACAGAACACTGCAGTTGGAATTTTTCACAGAATTCTCTATACAGTAACAAATTTCCATTATCATCCAAGAAATGGGCAATCGCCCAAATTCCTTTGGATTTCCATTCCTCAAAATATACTGACTTTCTGCCAATACATCTCAGATGAACATATAAACTACTCAGATTTGTATTTCAGCTTGATCAGCCATCAAGATCTTTGGAAGGAAAGCAACTACAGACAACAACTTCAGTCAAAAGTCATTCTTCCAAAGAAAACGCAAAGAAGCACAATGAACTCTTCTGTGCAACTCTATAATCTACAAGAAAGATATGCAGATGCTTTTGCAAAAACATTTACCATCGTTTTTCTTGCGGTCATAATTATCTCCATCAATGGAGTGTTTGTATACATATTCTTTAGGAGTTCAATTTTCTACAATGATCCAAGATACATATTATATATTCACTTGGTTATCAATGATATGCTCATGGTTTGTTTATCTGTAACTCTTTTTGTGATGAGTTTTGCATGGCAAAATGTACCGTTCCCGTTCTGTGTCACCCTGCTAATAGTAGCTGCAACTGCTCATAAGAACACTCCTCTGACTTTGGCCGGTATGGCCGTTGAGCGTTACATCGCCATCTGCAAACCACTGCATCACCATCAGATCTGCACAGTAGTAACAAATTTCCATTATCATCCTCAACCTCCGGTTCACTAGCACAGCGTCTGGTAACCCAGCTATGGCAACATGTAACACAGACGATTAAACAATAAAACATAAAACAGTAGACAAAGTTTATGTGTGATTTATCCGGATGGCATGATGACTGAGGGAGAGGATGGAGTGTGGATGACTGACCAAGTGCTACCAAGCTAGCGTGTGCACCCGCTATGCTGATAGCGGCATAAACTGGGACAGGATGGGTGAGTAAAAATTGTATAAAAATGTAATAAAAATTGTATATGTGTGTGCGTGTACATATATGAGTGCCAGTGCGTGCGCAGGACCAACATCCTCATCTCTCTGATTTGGGGTGTAGGAGTCATACCTGGATTGAACGACTTGATTGTCATTGTAATTGTTCGTCCTTTATCTGTCTTTAAAACAGTTGCTCTCTGTAGTTCAGCAACTCTTTATAACACACCGTACCATGCAGAACTCAGCAAATTTACACTTGGGCTTTATACATCTGTTGTGTGGGTAATTCTTGTATTCACATATTGTCAAGTGCTGATTGCGGCTAGAAGGGCCTCCGCTGATAAATCCTCAGCAAAAAAGGCCCAAAGCACCATCCTGTTACATGGAGCGCAGCTTCTGCTTTGTATGTTGTCCTACATTACTCCTGTGTTAGACAAAATTTTTCTTCCACTTGTGACTGATCAGCAGAAGAAAATCAGTTTTTTCAATTACCTTCTAACAAACATTGTGCCACGATTGCTCACCCCCTTGATTTATGGTGTTCGGGATAAACATTTTTATAATCACATGAAGGGATTTTATTTATGTAAATTGCCTTTTGTAAAGGTTGAATCATCCAAACAATGAGCAAAAAATACTTACAAAAATTTTGCTCTTTATTTTTCTATTGATTAACCCTGCAGAAAACAGACATATTAAATATGTTCTTGATTATTAGTTTTCTTCATCAGTGCGTACATATTTTTTGTGCAGTCATAACACATTTCTGAAAAATCTCCTCTTAATTAATGAATTACAACACTTGATGCAAATGTGGAATTTGTGCCTGTGGCATAAAACCTGTAGCTGAACTGGAGTGTGCCACTAGCAATGCCAGTTTCATATGGATTTGTATGTATAAGTAAGTTTTTTGAGTTTTGCAGAAATGTAGGTAGAGGCAAGTATTTCCAATGAGCCTATGTTGCCTCTACTTGTCAGGGAACACATATACTAATAAATGCAACACTGTAAAAAAAAAATGTGTGCCTCTGTGTACATTTTTTCAGAAACACCTACAAATATTTGTTGCAGTTTCCAGCTGAAATGACCACTGGTGACATTAAAACACAGACAACATTTTTAAATTTTTTCACACAAATTATGATTACAGGGGCAGATTTGATCAATAAAGACTTTGATCAAAGTGAGATTTGTAAACTAATACATTGGCAATTGCATCTCATTAACAGCTTCATATGTATGGCTTTTCTGACATAGTAAACGTATTTTGTAGCTCACTTGGTAAATTGCACTTGCGATGTGTACAAGTTGCGTGAATCATAAACTATGATAAATAAGACTTTGTAAAAGCAAGCTAAAATGGCATCATTGGCAGTGTGTAAACAACCACCCTAAAATGATAAAAATCCACCCAGTGTTTTTTTTTTTAATCTGCTCAAATCTTTACCCCTTTCTCAAATCGAGCCGATCTCAGATGCCTGTCTGTGTGATGTCACAAAAACAGGCCCCTCCCACGATAGTTTGATTGACAGTAGCGTTTCAGCACAGACTGGACTGGAGTCTTACCTTAGACCCGCCCTGAGTGAGCTGTCATCGGTCCGCCATTGAGCACGTTTACATGCACACCAGTAAACTGACAACTCACAAATATCAGCTTATTAAAATAACCAGTTTTCCCCGTTTACATGCACATCAGTAACCTGACAACGCAAGTAAGCTGCGTTTACATGACTTCATTAATAAATCAGGTTATTTCCCTGTAGTGACGTCAAAATATAATCATTTGCGTATCTGACTCCGAGTATTCCATACATTTGTCAGTTGTGATGTTAAATTAAGCTTGCAGCATGTCGGGAAACTTACAGCTCATAGGCCCTCAGAGGACCTCAGATGATGCCAACCCTGAAACAACATACAGAACTACCACATTTTGCTATAAGTTTGATTGCATCATATAATAATTGCTGTTAATAGTGTTCATCGTCTGTTTTATTACGTCTTAAATTGATTTTTCCGTACATTTCTGCCATATGTACATTAACTGACAATCACCACTGATAAGCTACCACTAAATACTGTAGAAACTTAATTTGTTGTAAAGTTGCTTTGCAATGATTTGTAACTTGAAAAGTGCTATACAAATAAACTTGAATTGAAATAAACTTGAATACACCTCAGCTCACTTGCAATATGAAGAGTACTTTCTTATAGAGTTTACAGTAGGTAATTATAATGATTATAAATGTGCTGCTCTTTAGTGAACTGGACTATTATGATACGACTACCATCAATGACCAGTGGGACATCCTGGGAACCCTGACCCAGAAAAGGAGAGAATCACTGGAGGTACATGTATATGATAAAATCTTAAGGTGTTTTTTACACTACCATTGAGAAATTTTAACCAAACTATGTTACAGACTTGTCATTAAGACCCTAAAGAATAATATCAACTTGTGGAAAATGGGCATCCTATGACCCCTTTAAGTGGAAATAAACTCAATATAACACATCTCCAAATCTCAGATTACAAAAAAACACTTTGTAAAGATAAGATCAGTCCAAAAATGATGAGTGCTATGCATACATAGAGAAACACTAGGGACTAAACAATATAACTAGACACAGGTGTGACACCTGAGGGCAAACCAAAAAGCATTGTAACAGTAGGACAAAAACAGGAAGCTGAACTGGAAACAATAATTCAAACAAAACTCAAACCCAAAACAGATGTTACAGTACGTACAAATGTATGTATTTGTACATAAATGTGACTTCAACCAAGGCTGGAGGAAACAGCTGATCACTTTATGCTTTAATGTGTTTAGTAGGCTACATTCATTTAGGAGTGAGCTATATTTCTAAATTACAAGAAATGAATGCTGTTGTATAAGATAAGCCAAAGAATTTTGTTTCATTTCATTATTGACTGCCATAAAAACTGAAAGCCATTCAGTGATTCAAAATCAGATTTAATAAGAAATGTACTGAAATCACACGTGTGTGTGTGTGTGTGTGTGTGTGTGTGTGTTGGCATGTATCTCCCCTCATTTACATTTCAATTGAGTATATAAACTGGTCTGTTCCCATCTGGAGTCAAAACTATTTACTAAGCAAACTGAAGAGGTAATTTCACTCTTTCAACAATGTCTTTAATTTTTTTTATTTACAGTATATTCATTATAGCTTATAATTGTTAATTTACTAAATGTTTCTTCTTTTTTATTTTCTATATGAGATGAAAAACTTGAAAAATCTTCAGGATAAAGAAGATCATATTCGAGCTTCATGTACTTTTGACAGTCATCAAGATCACTGGAAGGAAGAAAACAACAACAACAGAGTTTTTTTTCCAAGAAAAGGATTATAACTTATAATAATCAGTGAATTTTACACCAGCGCACAAGGACAATGAACTCTACAATGTTTCTGTACAGTGTACAAGAAAAATATGCAGATGCTTTTGCAAAGAATTTTGCCATTGTTCTTCTTGGGATCATAATTATGTCCATAAATGGAATGTTTGTATTGACATTTTTCAGGAGTTCCGTTTTCTACAATGACCCACGATACATATTATATATTCACTTGGTTATCAATGATATGCTCATGGTTTTTTTCAGTGTAAGTCTTAGTGTGATGGCTTATGCATGGCAAAATGTACCTCTCCCATTCTGTGCTACACTTCTAATAATAACTGCAACTGCTCATAAGAACACTCCTCTGACTTTGGCCGGTATGGCCGTTGAGCGTTACATCGCCATCTGCAAACCACTGCATCACCATCAGATCTGCACAGTGCGCAAGACCTACATCCTCATCTCTCTGATTTGGGGTGTAGGAGTCATACCTGGATTGATTGACTTGATTCTCCTTTCAATTGTTCGCCCTTTATCTGTTTTTACAACAGCTGCTTTTTGTAGTGCATCAATTCTGTATTCCACACAATATCATGAAATACAGACCAGATTTATGAATGGCCTTTACTCGTCTGTTGTGTGGGTAATTCTTGTATTCACATATTGTCAAGTGCTGGTTGCAGCCAGAAGGGCCTCCGCTGATAAATCCTCAGCAAAAAAGGCCCAAAGCACCATCCTGTTACATGGAGCACAGCTTCTGCTCTGTATGTTGTCCTACATTGCTGCTATCATAGACAAGATGTTTGTCCCACGTATACCAGTTGATTGGCAAAGACTAACCTTTTTAAATGATCTTTTAACAAATATAGTACCACGACTGCTTACTCCCCTGATTTATGGTGTTCGTGATAAACTTTTTTACAAACACATGAAGGGGCTTTTTTCATGCAGATTATTCATTGTAAAAGTTGAATCAACCAATCAATGAGAAAAAAAGGTCAACACCATTAGATGTTTCATAAAAACACGTCACTAATGGCTATGTAACATAAAGCATGCATAATTCTTCATGTACCAGATAAATGTTTTGCAACGCTGATGTAAATGTTAAATTTAATCAAATGTATTGCCACATTGTTATGTCATAAATTAATAGTGTTTTTTTAGTTGTCAGCATTTTTTAAACAATTATTATTTTGAATAAATGTTTTCCATGATTTAATATAACATAATGACTCCATGTGTTAAAATGGCACGTCTTGAAAATAAGGAATTGTAAGTGTTTACATTCAAACCAGCAGTAAACAGTGTATTATGAACAGACGGACCATAATTAACTGTACAGTGCCCCAACAATCTCAAAATTCCTCTACATTTGTTTTACCAAAATGTTTCAGCTAAGCTGTGTACAGTGTAAACAGTGCAAAGATATGTTATACAAAGTAAAATTTAAATCATGCTTGAAGAGCAAATGCAATATTATCAATAAAACGAAATATTGGTGCCAAATAAAGGGTAGGCAACCCCCTTTTTAAAAACATTGCCAAGGTCACTCTCCCTTTTGCATTTGTCACCAGCTCACCACAAACAGTATAGTTTAGGGCCAGATAGCTTTGTATTTCAGTTGTTGCATTTACATTTCCCAGTAGGTGATCTAATTAATTTGATTTATTTAAATACATCTCTACTCCTAGTTTTTGGTTCATATGTTTTTTTGTTTAAATTTTAAGTATTTTAATTCAATTTTATTTTTTAATATTTAAGTATTTTTACCACTCCTGTTTTCTGATTCAGTGCAAAGTGTTGGATTTAAAGGATTAGTTCACTTTCAAATTAAAATTTCCTGATAATTTACTCATCCCCATGTCCTCCAATATGTATCTTTCTTTCTTCAGTCGAAAAGAAATTAAGGTTTTTGATAAAAACATTCCAGGATTATTCTCCTTATAGTGAACTTCAATGGCTACCAAACGGTTGAAGGTCAAAATTACAGTTTCAGTGAGATGGTTCTCACTGCGGAACACAAGATCCAGGGGGCGTGGTTGGATCCAGATCCAACTCCTCCCACCTTACAAATTCCTAAACCTACCGGTCTCCACCCCCTAATCCCTAAACCCACCCATCTCCACCCCTAAACCTACCAATCTCCACCCCCTAGATCTGGATCCAACCACGCCCCCTGGATCTTTTGTTCTGCAGTGAGGCGCTACTGGTTTCAAAGCTAAAATAATGATCTTTAAAAAAAGCATCATATGACCCCTTTAATTT